TTAACCGCTAGCATGATAAACCTTGGTTAGGCATTTTTTATGCCAGCCTGGTGCCGTGGTTATGAGACAAATGGATCAAAATGACTATAGTTACTCTTCCTACTGGAGACTCCCAAGAGTTAAAGGAAATTTAGTTCCATTCTCTTTAGCTCTATTTCAGGAGAAGGGATTACGGACTGAGTTACTGCCATCCCAAGTTAGCCCACTGCATACATCTTCCATCTCTCACCCCAAAAATTACTGATCTGGGTTGGCCCTGCCAAAACCAATCTTAGAAAACCAATTCTTGGTGTTACAGACTGTGATCCAGTTAAAAACGTATAAAAGCATACTGAAGCATGAAATGTCCTGCAGTTAAACTGTATAGATATAATGTAGGTGGCTTGCATATATTTAGTTTGTAAGAGTAACAAAAAATGTGTTTAGAAAAGAGCTGGGCATGGTGGTGCACACCTCTAAACCCAGCACTGGGAGGGTGAGACTGGAGGACTGCCACAAGTTCGAGGCCAGCCTGGGCTACAAAGTGAGCGCAAGTCCAGTTTGAATTACAGAATGAGACACTATCTCAAAAAACAAACAAACAAACATAAGGGTATAGAAGAACATAATGTTTTAAGTTTTACTTTGCAAACTGTGGCTGTCAGGCCAACTCTGGCCCATGGGTTGTTTTGTAAACAAACTTTTATCAGAACACAGTCATATCAATTTAGTTCTGTATTATCTCTGGCTGCATTTGTGCCTCATAATAATATTGCTGAGTAGCTGCAGTGGAGTGCACACGGCTAGCAAAGTCTGGAATGTTTACTCACTGACTTTTTACAGAAAATTTTGCCAACCTCTGGTTCAGAGGCGTGGCTTCTGGGAAAGATACATTTTGCTGGATGGAGAGAAAGGCGGAGCCCTGGTTTAAAGGGTCCTGTAGAGCCCCTCATGGATGTGTGCTCCTTCCACACTCATGCTTCCTCAGTGAAAGCAACTCTGGTGTTTGTATACTTTGGATTTCTACAGAAGACTTCACTTGAAGAAAGCTTTTAGAAGTTTTAAAAAATGATATGGCCTAGACCAGTGATTTTTTTTTTTTTCTCACAGTAGTGGGAGGTGAACCCAGGGCCTTCACACCAGGCTATAACCTCAACAGCCCCCTTTCTACTTGAGAGAGTGTATCATTAAGTTACTCTTAAGTGCACAGGTGTGTACTACAATGTCCAACCAGGAAGCAGTGATTCTAAACTTTGGCTGCACAGTAGAATATTCTGGAAGCTTCTAAAAATTATCATTACCCTGTTCTTAGTCTTAAAGATTCTGATTCATTTGGTCTGAGGCAAAGCCTAGATATTGTAACAAAAACAAAGGAAACAAAAGAAAAACAAAAGCAAACTTCGCAGGTGATTTTACTGTATATGTAGCTTAGAAAATCACTGGACTAGGCAAGAAAGAGGTCAGGAGCAGGGAAGGTGTCTCTATAGAGGCCTTGGGCCGCTATAGGGATCTTATGAAAGTGCTGAGAAGCTGTCAAAATTACTAACAAAAGGGACCCCAAAGAGGAAGAGAGGCACAAAATATAGAAGTTGAATCAGGACTTTCATAGGTCAAAGTCTCTTAATGTTGATATATAGCTCACTGCTATACCTTAGTTGATGATTCAAGTCAGCTTAATATAATCCCTCCAGGCCACTTAAAGCAGGATGGCTGCAGTCACAGGGAAGAATTCAGGGACATATTTAATGTTGGTTTAAAATAATAAAGTAATGAGAATTTAAAAAATATATGTTGTTCCCATAGAGTTATTGTGTTATCTGGTCTAATCCTCAGGGCCTCGTAGAAGGTCCATTCAGGTAGAAGAGCAGATGATAAAATGGCAGCAAGGAAGAAAAATAGGACAAAAACTATCACTTTGGTTTTCCCTGGTAGAACTTAGGCTACATTCTCATGCTCTTGTGTGATTCTCTCTAGAAAGCTCCCTGCTCAATCCTTGAAATGGTTTTCCAGGGATATCTTCGGTGCTCACAGAGAGGGTGGGAATGGGAGGGGGCTGGATAGAGCAGGTTCTGTGGATGCAAGTTCGGTGACTCTGAAGCCTTTGGCATAAGGATATCTGACTCTTACAAATAAGCAAAAAGACACCAGCATCGTGTAGGACCCCATGATAACCAAGGGAGGGCTTTTCTTTTTTGAAAATGGTGCCTGAAGCCCCTAACCCTCTACAGAGTTCTTGCTCTTGCCTGCTGGAACCCACAGTTCCCCAGTGAAGGACAGAAAAAGACAAATGAGACCTTAATAGTTGTGAGGGAAGTCTCTTTGAAACCCAGCTGAGACTGAAGCTGAGGAAGAAGTGTAGACCCAAGTGAGGCGGCAGAGGCATGGCCCCGAGCATGAAGTTCCCCCTCCCATGCAACTTTTATTTTCAGAACTTGTTCCTTTCCTCCTAGGATACCTTTTACTCTTCTATACTCAGCAAATATTACCCATATTTCAAGACCACTTTTAAAGGTCATCTCCCTTGTGAAGTCTTCCCAGTTCCCCCTGACAGCATTGGCTGTTCCTATAGCACTTGACTGATTTCTCTGTTTTGGCCTTTTTAGTCTCTATCTTCACGTTTGTCTTCCCAGTCGGCTGTGAGCTCTTCAGAACACAAGTAGCATCTCAGTCCTCTGTGTATCTAGGTTGCTGCAACTGGAAACGTACAACATTGTCTCACGAGGCAAAATTTCTTTTTGCCAGTATCTGAAAGCTGTGCTTTAATTGTCACTCCCAAAAGGACAGGTAAATTATGACTTATAAGACATGCTCAACTATAAACATTACACTTACTAAGACCTTTTTAGAGGGTCATATATTATTATATGCCAAGTACTATGATGTGTTTCTAGCCTCTGGGGATTACAGTTTCATGGGGAGACAGATAATTAGAGGGAAGTGAGCTGAGCTACTTTAGAAGCACAAACAAGACAGTGTGGAACCAGGGAAAGATGTGTTTATTTCTCCTGGATATTACAAGGAAGGCTGCTTGGAGGGAGTGTGAGAATTTAGTCCCTAGAACAGTGAATCTGTTGAGTGAATGGTGGTAGGTAGGGGCATTTTAGAGAATTTACATCTTGAATCAGGAAAGGGATACAAAAATGTACTCTCAGCTAAATACTTAAAGAGGAAGCTGCTCTGTTTTCCTGGGCCATGACAGTTCTGGAGATGACTATTTCTAAAGGAAAAAAAGAAATAAAAGCTAGAACAGAGGAAAAGAAAATGACCACTCCCTCAGCTCACTGATTTGACCCCAAATTGGAACCTGTTTTGAGGGACCATAGACAGAAAAGACTTTTTCCTGTAAAATGAGGCCAATTTTCTAGAACACAGTAGGCAATAACAAGGCTCCTGTATCATTTTGTCAGGCAGAGGCCAGCAATTTGAGGGTGGGAACAGATCCATTTACACAATGAGAGAATTTCCCTATGTGCTAAGTGTTCCCTAGCAATTTGTGGCCTCACAGAATGCCATTTATAGTTCCTCCAGTGGCAGGAAAATTAGGGGCCCAGGTGATTATTACTCTAATCACAAACCTGAAGGATGCATTGGTTGTACTGGTCTACTTTCTCTTTCACACCAGCAAGGGATCGATTTGCTTAGCTTTCGGTAGGGAAGAAGAAAAGTGAAAAGGCCAGTTAGTTCCCCACCCAGATATTATCTTTCAGCCTATAAGTCCCTGCATCAGCTGTTAACCGTAGCTCAGGGTTGGAAGTTGCTGCCCAGAATAATGTTTTATCTTCATTTAAAAAAATCTGAAATTTTTCTTTGGGAAGTCAGCTTGGACTGGGAAGCTGGATCTCAGTGAAAACAAGGACCCCAAAAAATGACCAGGCTATATTGCAGAAAGCCTCCCCATCATCATTTCAAAACAGTTCAGTTCCATGTTGTATTTTATTCCTGCTAAATATGTGGATGGTTCCCAATTCGCACTTCACAAGGAAGAAATAAATATGATCTTCCTGTCTGGATTGTGGGGAGAGGTATGCGTAGCAGGATCTCACTTTGTTGTGTTCAGCTAATTGCTAATTATGTAGTGATGGATGTAAATTGCGCAGTTGGCATTTCAGGCTCACAGGCTCACTAGCTATTCCTTTTACTTCAAGGAGAAAGGCTGAAATATTAAGAAAATTCTGCCATTTCTTCACCCATGAAGATAAACTCTAAATACATGAAATAACCCCTGAGAAGGAGAGGAAAAAGAAAAAAAGAGGATGCTAGAGGTAGTCCCCACTCAGACTCTGCCCTGGTGGATTTCTTGGTAGAGAATGATGCGGTGATGTTTGGAGAATTTCGTTTAACTGGGAAAGAACAATAGATGTGCTAGTTTGCAGGAGTAGCAATGTCTCTGCAAATATTTTGCTCACAGATGACAAAATGACAGTAACAGTGGTAATATCTAAACTTTGAAAAGCACACTGACGTTTTATGCCTCCTTGAATTGCCAAAAACAAGGTTACTGAGAAGGGGTGTTGCTAACATGAAATTCAAAACTCAAGAAACGGGTAATGACTCTGCTAACCCACCCTGCTGGTAATGGTAAAGTAGGCAGATTCCAGCATCACATTTGTTTTCAGCCTCATGCCAGTGTGGCCACAGTTGGCTAGCCATCTTAGCATTATATTTATGTGGTTTGGTATCTGGTTTGCAGGCTTATTTTAAGTAAGAAGGTTTTTATTTATGACTTTCTCTCTGCTGCATGTTTGAGGCTGAGAAATAGAAAATTAGCTCGGAGGAGAACAGTAAAATATCTGCCCACTAGTCACCATGCTGGGATAACAGATTCAGATAATGCCAGCCCCAAAGTCAGCAGTAAACAGTATTCCTCCAAAGGATGTTCTACCTTGGGGAAGTGTCATAACAAGTCGTTTCTGTTTACTTATTTCCTGAGAAACCTTGTTTTCTAAAATCACAGATGGTCTGAGATTTGCTGGTTTGAAGTTAATTTCATTAGTAAAAATGAAGCTTTCCATTTTTTCCAGGTAGACCGGAAGTCACTTGAAACTGAGAAGCAGCCTCAATTCCAAATCAGGTAGAGGACTTCAGGTAGAGTGTCAGAGTACAGCATTTCATATTAACTTTGCGGTTTTCAAGGAAATAAAATCCTGAATCCTCTTCACAGCTCTGACCTGATGTTGACACTTTCATATCCAGTCCTGTCTTGTATCAAGCTTATCACACTTTTCTTTCCACTTCACACCCACTAGGGTGGCTGTAATAAAAAAAAACATAGAAAATAACAAATGTTGACGGGAATATGGAGAAATTGAAATCCTTATTCATTGTTGATGGGAATGTAAAATGCTGCAGATAAAGTGGAAAACAGCATGGAAATTCCTAAAAGAAATAGTGAATGAAGCATCACATCATCCTGAAATTACACTTCTGAGTATATAACCAAACTTATTGAAAGCAGAAACTCAACTGATTTGTACTCCAATATTCATAGCACCATTTATTCTCAGTAGCCGAAAGGTGAAAACAATCTGTGTCCACCACAAATGAATAGATAAATAAAATACATTATAAATATATAATAGGATTTTTTCAGCGTTAAAAAACAAAGAAATTCTGAAACATGATAATGTGTCTTAAAATTGATGATATTAAGTTCAGCGACAGAAGGCAGTCACAGGACAGACACTGTACGATTTGCTTTTGTGACCTACTGAAAGTAGAGTCATAGGGGGAGAGACAGTAGAAAAGTGAGTGTCAGAGGCTGCGGTGAAGGTGGGGAAATTGGAAAGTACAGTGTTTAAGGTACACGGAACAGAATTATGAAGAGAGATTGGGAATAGGTAATGGTGTTGGTTGTACAATTTGGATGAACTTACTGCCACTCTATTCAAAATTGATTAAAATGCCAAACAAAAAACCCCAAACCTCTTTGCATTTCACCTAAACTTCATTCTTCCCCCAATCTTCTGCTAATTTTCTCTTACCCTAGATTTGGTGGGAAACAGTTCCTCTAGAATTGCTGGCTTCCTCATAGTAATGAGCCAGTAAGCCTGACTTTATTGGACTACAGATTTGTCTCAGATGTCTTTGGACTCAGAAAGTATTCACTATTCTCTGTTTGGCAAACTAGATTTTATGATAATAGAATGTTGAGCCTATTGGTCATGGTGACATTGGGAGATATTCCACATGTGTTCACAGAGCAAAGGATAAGATTTAATTCAATCTGTAGTGGACAGCTTGTTTGTTTTCCTCTGTCTTAGTTACTTTTCTCGTTGCTGAGTCAAAATACCAGGACACAAAGTTAAAGTAGGAAATGTTTACTTAGCTCACAGTTTGTAGAGATTTCAGTTCATATTTGGCTGGCTCTGAGGTAGGGTGTCATGGCAGAGGGGCATTGCAGAGGAGAAACAGTTCATAGTGGGCAGAAGACAGAAGGCAGAAGGCATCAAGCTACAAGTGACCTTAGCCACTTCTTTCTGCCCCTTTTATATCTTATCTAGGCTACCAGGATTAGGACAGTACCAAATCAAGCAGTGGACTGATTTAGTAATCATATATCTTTTATCCCAGCATCACACACTCTAGATCCAGCCACCTCTAAAAAGCCCCATCTACGACTACACGAGGCTTTGGGGGAACATCTAGACACAAGCCATAACATTCTCTCTTCAGGGCCATGAGTTCCCAGGAATCCATGGCTCTAGTCAGAGGTTGGGTAGAGGCTGTGTTCAGCATTGTTTACAAGCCCTCTTGCTGTCTTCCTGACCTGATCCCAGTTAGTCTGTAGCTTCTGTTTTTTTCACTATTCTGAGGTTCTGCTCTCTTTCTGGCCCACAGAGATACATATCATTTTTTAAAACGTTGTATATGTGTATGCTTATATGGCTGTCTATCATTATTGTTGGATTTGATCCGGGGCTGAATGTTGAGGGTACAGAATACAGCAAATCATGAAGATACTATGTCATCTTAGCCAGAGATTTTGGGTTTAAAAACTGTAGTGACATCGAGCTCTAAAAGTATACAGTTCCTTGGCCATATGAATGTAATTGAAAATACTACTAAATTGTAAAGTAAGTATAAAGCCATCTGAGAGCTATCTCATTTTCTTAAACAAAGACTACTTTTTAAAAAATTTCTTTCTCTTTTTCTTTTTGTTTAGGCAGGATCTAACCACATACTTCTGGCTGGCCTTGAGCTCACAATGTAGTACAGACTGGCCTGAAACCCTCAGAGATCCTTCTGCCCCTGCCTCCTGAGTGCTAGGATTATAGGCTTGCACTACCACGTCTGACTAAAATCTATTTTTATTTAAAAATTTCCCTGTTTTATTTTACTTTGAATTGGCACAATCATTGTACAAATTATGGGGCAGAATGTGATGTTTAAATACACATATAACTTGTGTCATGATCAAATCAGGATAAATAGACTATCCATCTCCACCAATATTTATCATTTCTTTGTGATGAAACATTCAAAATCATCTCTTCTAATTATTTCAAAATATACATTACCTAAGTTTTTTTGATCTGTTGGGTTCTTACTATTGTCTTCACTGGCCCCACTATCCTAGTCTCCTCACAATGTCCATAGTGTATCCATGAGGTAACCCAATGTTAATCACCACTGGTGGGTGAGTAAAGACGAAGGAGGGAAGCAGCAGGAGGTGTATATCTGACATTTCTAAAATAACTCACTTAGGTGTTATGCCCTACTCTGCTGTAATGGTGACCATTTTCTCTTTTAAAGGAGGACAATTTGTATTAGCAATCTTCTTTCCAGGCTTGTTTATTAAAGAAGATCCACTAGGAAGAAACAGACTCTTTGTCTTGTGTTTCTCAAATCTCACCACCTCCACTATATTCTCTTTAAGACAAGTTTTCAGCTCACCAGAGACTCTAAATTCAACAGAAGTTTACAGTAAGATGAAATAGGGAGGACTTCTGTGATGTTCTAATGTAGTTAGGTCCAAGGGCATTATTGGAAAATAGTCACAGACGGACATTTTACCTTGACCTAACCCTGCTGGTGGTGAAATGATTAAGTGAATAATTGTGATTTTGGTCAATAGTATGATAAATATTAATTATGGTAGTTTTACCCCACACAGACTTGCCTAAAATCACCTACAACAAATAATACAAGTAAAAAAAATCACACTCAAGCTTTTAAATACTTTCAATGTCTAGATTTAATTGCATCCTACTTTGACAAGGTAGCTATGAATTTGGTGAAAAAATAAAACAAAACTCATTCTTAACAGAGCTTAAATAGGCAAAATTGTGAAGTTACTTACTGTGTTTTCTTTTTTGTCTTTTGTGGAGGCACACTTCCATAGTTCCTATTTCTTATTCTGAGATATTGCTGTCATGTCTCATTCTTGGACAGCCTTGAAAATAAATTGAGGTGCAGCTAGGGGAAAGCATTAGATTGGAAAATCAGAACACTGAGTTTTAGTGTCAGTTCAGACAACAGTTAGCCTTACGATAGCTTTTGGTTTCTATTTACCCAGAAGTTGAGACCAAAAAGAATAGCGGCCCTACTAAAGTTTCTTTTAATCTATAAATTTCAGATATATAATTACCTCTGAGTTATTATCTAGTGAAGAGTCATTTGTCTTTGTGATTTTTTTCTTTTTTAACAAAGAGATCTTGGAATGCAAAGGATTTTTAAATGTGTTAATTTCTAATGGTGAGAAATTTGGATACCATGGCAAGTTGAAAGAGAAATATTTTTCTGTGCAAATTTTCAAGGTACCTTAAGTCGTAAAATAAGTTGATTTTCTTATTTGTAAATCTGGAGTAGGTGAAAGAATGTGCAGCATGATTTTTAATTTCCTAGCTTAATTACTTTCACCAATTTGAAATTCTGACTGTATTTAGCATTAATGTGATACTCTTCTGGTCCTTTTCCTTTTTTAACAAAGCATATTCTATGTAACTCCTCATTTTTCTTCATTTCCTACTGGTGTTTATTTATGACTTTCATGATATACATTGCTTGTGGTTAAATTTATGTTGCTAAATAATACCATTGTAAATTAGGTACTGATAGTCCCTTGTTTATTTAGATCTCATCAGTGGAGCTCTATTAACTCAGAGATATTTTCAGTTGCAGATAAATTGCTATGTTAAATTTGCATTTTAGTAATTTTCTGATTTAGATATGGGTTTAGTAATGGGCATAATAAGTCAGGAAGGGTGAGTTGAGGGGAGGGAATCTCCTAAAATGCTAACATCTTTAGCAACTAACCAAAAATAGTGACTGTTTCCCATTATGCAACATCTCCCTATATCTGCATACATAAAAGTTAAGTATCCTTACAAAGCAGCATTGAAAATGGCTTTGGCTATTTTCCTTTCTTAGTGTATTTTGCTGTGAGTTTGTATTCAAATTGGTTTGGTAAGGCGTTTTGCCCCAGGGGTCCATTTTAATAGCAGCATTCCTGATTTGTCATAATTTACTGGACTGCATGGAGTGTTGAAGCCTGATTTTAAAGTCCTACTCTTAGAGGAAAAGCATCGGTCATTGGTTTTGTGGCTTGATTTCTGCTAGTGGTTTCTCAAGTCTTCATTTTCCCATTCAGTCTCCTCTGATACTTTCTTTTGTTTGTATTGCTCTTCCCACCTTTTCTGAGTCTGAGCTTCCTGAGAGAGGGGCTTAGCTTGTTTTCTCACAGGACCTCATTCAGTGCTAGACAATGAATAGGTACACAGCAGACTAAATAGAATTACCTGCCTAAATCCTAAAATGTAGTACTTGTCTAAAGAACAATAGCACCACCAATGACAACAGCACACACGCACACAGCTGAGAAGTGGTTTATTGATTGGTCTCTTTGTCTTCAAAATGCCAAACAAATGCCTGAATGATTTTTTTCCATTATTGAATTTTATGAATTTGTATGTAGGAGGTAGAGAGCACTTAATCAACTATCCTGACAAGTTCTTTTAGCCTTCTGAAAACAGAGCTTTTAAACAGAAAACTGGAATCCATTAACTGATATGAAATTGCTTTAACCTATATACTGCACAAAATGTGATTTATACTTGTGTGTATGCCTGTGGATTAACACACACAAT